AGGTATTTTCCCACGTCATAGTAGTGGTGCTTTTAAAGTTGTAGCAACGTTTCAGCAGAATCTCATCTGCCATCATCAGGCTTTTGTATAGTGTATATATATATTCTCAAGTTTTCGCGGGTACTTACATGTATGGCATTCAGCTTTGTTCGGGTATTTTCCCACGTCATTGTAGTTGTGCTTTTAAAGTTGTAGCAACGTTTTGGCAGAATCTCATGTGGGAAAATACCCGAACAAAGCTGAATGCCATATATATATAGAAGTAAATTTGAGACAGAATTTAATTCAAATTGGAAACTGATTAGTATCACACCCAAAATTTGGATTCCTCCCTTCCCCTTAAATCCATGTTTAAATTTTATAGCTGGCTAATGATATATTTAAAAATGTAATGTACTATCCTTTGTTTGCCCATTTTTCTCTTCTTTCTTTCTTTGTATTCTTTTTCCTTCCCTGTTTGTGTGTGTGTGTGTGAGAGAGAGAGAGAGAGAGGGAGAGAGAGAGAGAGAGGGAGAGAGAGAGGAAATGTGTATGTGTGTATCAAATTCAAATCCATATTCCAAATATCAACATTAGGAAAAAATGAGACAATAAATTCGCATTAACTCATATTCTGTGTGTGATTGTCCCTTCCACTATGTGACATTTCCAGCAGTTCAGGTTGGCAATTTGGTTACAATGCCATTCATCATATATTTAAATATAAACAATACATGGCAATTAACTTTAAGTGTATAGGGCTCCAAGAAACATTATTTCCTTGTTTTAATTAAAATTCATTACTATAGTTGTTTAGTTCATTTGGTCAGCTAGATCTCAAAGCACTAAGTGCAGGGTATTTCACACTTCCAGAGTAATTATTTACCTGTATACTGCACAGGGATGGGATTCAAATTTTTTAACAACCAGTTCTGTGGGCGTGGCTTAGTTGGTGGTCATGGCTTGGTGGTCATGTGACTGGCTGGGCGTGGCCAACTCAACATCACTCACATCGAGGCACGCATCTCCTCGCCTGGCCTCTCATGACTGTGGGGATGCTGCAACAGTCATAAGTGTGAAAAATGGTCATGTCACTTTTTTCAGTGCCATTGTAACTTTGAATTTCACTCCACACAAGCAAAGTACCAGTAAAGGAGGGGGGGAAAAACTCCAGAGACGTTCCTGAGACAGGAAGTCTAGTCCTGTCAAGAATGTAATAAGGGTTAATGGAGAGACAGTTTCTGTAAACAACACCAGAATGTTTCCTTCCTGCCTTCCTTACAGGATTAGGCCAATAATTTCTTCTAATAACTGGTTCTCCGAACTGCTTAGAATGTTAACCGGTTCTAGCGAATAGGTGCGAACCTGTAAAATCTCACCCCTGATACTGCAGGTGGAGAAACTGCAACCACACAGTTGCTTGAGATCTCATAGGAAAAAGTGACAGGGCAAAAATGTGATCTTTTAAGATTTGTGGACTTAGAACATAAAACAATAGAGATGGAAGGGACCTGAGAGATCTTCTAGTCCAACCTCCTACTCAAGCAAGAAACCATATATCATTCCAGACAAACGGTTGTCCAGTCTTTTTCTGAAAACCTTCAGTGATGGAGACCCACAATTTCTGAATGCAAGCTATTCCATTGGTTAACTGCTCTGGCTGAAGAATTCTGCGAGTGGAAGTCCACAAGTCTTAAAGTTGCCCAGTTTGGGGACCTATGCTTTATATTGTAAACTTATATGTTGTTTTCTTTTAATTAATTTCTTATGTTCATAATTTTGTGTATACTGCTGTAGTTCTTTGCTCATATACCTAATCTTCTACCCTCAATTCTCTTCTTCAAAAGCCACTGGTATGCAACATTCTATTCTTCCCAGCTTGATGTAGTCATCTACTTCCAATTGCTTTGGTGGGCTATTTTGGTCTGCCCTGGACTGCAGCCTGGTCTTCTATCTGAAAGTGGGGACAATAATTTGTAGACGTGGTTGCTGCCATGTTGCAGCTTACCTGTTATAAGGATGACATCTTAATAGATGCTGCCTGTACTTCAGGCCTCACTAGATTACCAGAACCTGAGGAAGATCACTTGCTGTCCCAGCAAGCCACAGAAATTGTCAAGACCTGGGTTTCTATTGGGTTTTATTGCTCTTTTTTCCTTTCTCCTTTCTTGTTCTCCTTTAGTTTGTATTAATTCTTCTGATTGTTGTTAAAATGCAGACTTCCAGTTGCTCTTCCGTCATAATTGGAGCAGAATCTGCGATCGTGCACGGTTTCGCTCTGGGCTCACCAATTGGAGGGCTGGTGAGGAAAGGGGGAATTGCTTGGAGGGTCAAGGGGAGCCGCATCTCTCCTCCCTGACAAGATAAACCCCCTCCAAATACAAGTTGCAGCAGTGGTCAAAAATGGCCACCATGAAGATGGGAAGCAGTCTGGGAAACTAAGACTGTGCTGGAGAGGTGAAGTTGCAAGAGGAGTGTGAACCAGGCAAAATACATGGATATTAAGATACCCTGGAATTAAGAAACAAAGAACTACTTTGGATGAAAGTGTGTAGAAGCAGTGATCAGAGAGAGAGAGAAGGAAATTGGAACTTATAAAACTAGTTTTGAATATTGAAACAAATTAATTTGGAGGCAAAAATTCAGAGGAAAATATTTGATCACAAAAGGCTTGGAAACTAAATTGGATAATTATTGGACTTTTGGCACTAAATAGACATAAGTAAATGATGGAATTGAATGTGTTGAAAAGAAATAATACCTAATAATTGGAATTAGCGAAATTAATAAAAGTTTTATTTTAAAAAAGGGAAAAAGTGAAAGAAAGGGTGGACGTAGAAATAGAACTGAGAGTGCCACCTAATGGTACAGGAAAAATTTCAGTGACCCTTTGAAAAGTTTTTGGTCTTTTTAAAATTGGAACTTGGAACTTAAAAGAAAATAAGAGGAATTCCATCATAATAAAACAAAAACCCTGAAAAGTAAAACACTAGAATATTACAATGGGAAAGATAGTTGAAGAAATTGCTTTGGAACTACCCGGTGATTTTGGGGAAAAGTTGGAAAAGAAACTAATAGAAGGAAACTGGAAACAAAGATTTATGGACATTGTTGAAATTAAATATAAAAGACGCTGGTTGAAACAACCTACTGGACATTTGGATTGGATACAAATATTAAGGAAGGGGCGAATAAGGAGCAGCGTACAAAATGGGAGAATTATTTGCGGAAATAAGACTGGCTCTACAAGATATGAAAGAAATGATGAAAGTAAGCTTGGAAATGTGCAGCAATATATTACAAAAATTAGAAATGATGATTCAGATTGAAGAAGAACAAAGAGAACTAGAGGGGAAAGAGTTAAACAAAGAAGAAACTAGTCTTGAAGATCAAGTTTAAATTATCATGACCATATAAACAGGGGGGAGAATTAAAGTTAAAAATTTGTGGTTTGATGTGAAAGGGAGGGTGGTTTGGAAAGTTAAACAAAGGAAAGGGAAAAAGCAGAAGAGGGAATTACAGAAGATTGAGAGAGGAATAAAAAGAATTAAAAAATGATTGGAATGAGAAATGGAGGGAAATAATAATGGGGAAAGGGGGAATTAAGAAAAAGGACCAAAAAAGAAAGAGAAGTAGGAAGCAAACAAGAATGAAAAGAAATTACATAGTTAGGAGGATGAGAGACAATGGATAAAAGAACAATAGGAAAGGAGATTCTGCAAGGTAATGTGTTGTGATATATAAAAATAAGAATTTGAAAATAAATAAGATTGGAACTGATATTTTTATTTTTATTTCTCTTTAAGGATTATCGTTATACCAGATATAGAATTTATGGAAATAGATATTTGATAATTAGTGATGTATAAAATTAAAATGAATTATGAGAATTGTAATGGAAAGATTAATATCAGTTTCTATAATTAATTGAATAAATTAATATCTTTGAAATATATAGATGACTTATAAGATGATTGAGAAAAAGAATACCATGCAAAATCTGACAAAATATATGTATATGTGATATGTAGTAGACAGGAGAATATTGTTATTAATGTAGAATGAGGTGAATTAAAGGGAATAAATGGAGGGAAAGTACAAGGTAAATAGGTGATAAGCTTGAACTGAAAACTAAAGGGGACAATTTCTTGAACTAACAGAACAAGGATGAAATTATTGAATAATAAATGGAATAACAGTATGTGATAAAATTGCAAATGTGACAGATAAAAGTAATATGTATAATGAATATAGAAATGAAATAAGAATCTTAGATAATATTGTAAAGCAAGATATGAGAATATTTTAAGAAAAATGAAATAAGTTAAGATATGAACTGAAATTGGATAAGTTTAATGACTTTAATATTTGAGAATATTTAAAATAAAATAGAATAAGTAATAATGTGATATGAAATTGAACAAGAAAGATGAATATGTAACTATGGTCATGTTTGTACTGAAATGTAAAAACCTGGAACCACACTGCTGGCCAAAAGAGATGTTTTTTTTAAAAAAATATAAAAATAAAAGAAGAAATTGAATAATGAAATTATCGTGTATGTTTAAATAATATGGTGATTGGCATTAGAAGAATGTACTGGAATATTGAATAGTTAAATAATGAAGGATTATAATTTAATACAAATATGTGTATTAACATTAGAATTATATTAGTTTGATGAATGTAAGAGATACGATTAATGTTGTTATTTTTGTTTGCACCAAAATGTATGATGCTTAGGTGCCACACTGTTTATGTATTGATGTGTATAAGTAGAATAAATTTAAAAAAACTTGATTGGTGTTAAACTGCTGAATACAAATTATATTTTTGAAAAAGATGGCTAAAGCAAACCTTGCAATAATTTTGCATGTCACACTTGTAGACAAATAAAAGATTCTGTTCTTTTATGTTAGGCACCCCATCTTCAAGTGCTAAAGGCCATTGCATTTTTGTACAACGGGAAAGTGTCACAATATGCTGTATGTATTTTTAATTGCAGCAATGTCAGATTACCAAAATAAGTTTTCTGCAATCTCATCAGAGACCTTGCCAGAATTTCCTGCCCAGGACATTGTTTCAATCTTAGATGATTCAGCAGTCTATTGTTGGAAGAATTATCTTTCTGGATTCAGTTCCAAGTGGGGAAAAAGACACTGGAAACATGGAGGCTGTTTCAAAAGATAGTTTAATGGTGGACATGGCTTGGAGCTCCAAAGAAAGGTGAAGGAAAAGAGAAGGAAGGGCTGAGATGCTGAGAGTGCCTGGTTTTATACCCTCTGTTGAGATTTGAATTTGAGCTTGTATTCTGATTGGTTGTCAGACTCCCATGGGACCATGCAGGGGCAACTCTGTAGGCTGTCCTGAGTTCCAGGTTTAGTTGAGCCTTGCTGGATGATGATGTAATGAAAAGGCTTTAGGCAATTCCTATAGTTCTACCTGGAGATCTTCGTTATGTAAAATATTCTGGCCCAGGCTGTTGAGGTATTCCCTGTTAGGAGAATGAGTGCACTCAGGGAAATGTAGTGAGAGTGGTGTTGAATAACACACAGCCAACATACAGATACACTGAATAGTAAAATGTAGATTTTACTTCCAGTAAACGGGTAAACAAAGTCCAACAAACAGTTCAAATCATACACGGTGAAAGCAGGTAGTATTCAATACAATCAGTCCAGGGATAGTCCAAAATCGAAGTCAAGTATCATAAACAAAGTTCAGTAAACGGAGTTTGCTAACAGTTTGCAAGACTCACAGCAATCCAAGCAGAACAACATTCAGGCAAAAGGCAAACGGGAAATGCAAGAAGAGAACAAACCAGGTTTCTGGCTCCATCTTATGGCCATCGGAGAAACCTCAGCCAATCACAATTACAGCATTCTCTTAAAGGTACAACAGTATTAAATGACTATCCTGGTTTATATATTGCCAACCCAACTGTTAGGTGACTATCATTCCTAACACAGGCCTTAATGGCCCACCCATTAACAAAGGTGAGGGTGAGCTTCTGCTTCTGAGGTGAGTTTCTGCTTCTGAGTTTCTACTCTTTTTAGGGGAAATATTCTGCCTTTTTAATATTTCCTATGATATTTCAATTTTCTAGGAGAGGGGTGGGTGCTAACTTCCTACAATACTTAGAGCTTAATTGTTTCCCCCCAAAAATGAAGATTCCAAAGATGTATTTGATAATGTTGCAGTTGCCTTCATACCCACAGATGCTGTACTGCTGAACTCAAGAACTGTAATACCAGTAGTTCATAACCTTGCTGCTTTAAGACATGTGGACTTCAAATCCCAGAATTCCCCAACTAGCAACGCAACTGGGAGTTGAAGTCCACACGTCTTAAAGTAGATAAGGTTGAGAAACACTATTGCTTCTCTGACTGCATTTTCCCACAAGTGCCTTCATAAGAAGATACGATGAGTCAAAATTTACAATATTTTCTGGAAATCCTGTCTAGAAAAACAGGAAGTTGCTTTAGCCACACTGTGAGTCTACGTACCCTATACTGAAGCAATAGTTCAGAGGTTCAGGCAGGGCATTTCCTAGCCTTGACTAAAGATATTAAAAATTGGAGCTGTTGTCTTTTGCATGCAAATCACGTACTCTATCACTGAGCTGCAATCTTGTCTGTTGACAACTCAATCTCTCCTCTCTTTGATTGCTACATTGATTCATAGGCAATGATGAAAAGAGCTTTGGAATCCCCTTTTCTTCAAGGATCCAGTCTAAACAGGATCTAGAGCAGGGGTGTTAAACTGGGAGCCCCTAGGCTAGATGCGTCACACGCAGGCCATGCCCACCCCAGCTCCACAAAAGGAAAAAACAATGCAAAATGTCATATGACGCAGCAAGTTGGGCACCTGTGATCTAGAGAATAAATGTTTCATATCAAAGCATATTAAAGTGTTTTGATAACACAAGACAAGATGCTAGGTGCTAGATGCTGGTGAGAGAAATACCAGTACATTTAATTTTGTTAGATTTTGTTTATCTGGTGGATTTTTCATACACACTAATGGCAGCGGGTAAGCAGTGTTCTTGAATAGAGACACCCAACAGAAGAATAAATCCCTGCTGGATAGGAGTATAAAGTATGTGTCAATATTTGTTTGGGCTCTTGTACATACATGCAGTCCTTAAATCTTCACCCAGTTTCAGGGTGGATACAGTTGCCCACTCATGTTTTGAATCTGGGGTGTGGTATCTACAGCTTTCTAGATATTACTGCATCCTAATTATCAACTGCCCCAACCAGCATGGAGAATGGTAAGGAATGCTGGGAGTTGTAGTTCAACCACACCTGGTAGACCACAGGTCTTCTATTTTCATTTTGTATGAAGGGCCTGTAGCGCTATTAATTAAAAGAACAAATATTCTACCTTCCTCTCCTTAAAGAAATATGGAATAATTGGCGAGAAACCCCAGGGGCAGAGGAAAGGGGTTCAAATGAAAGGTTCTGTCATCTTGACTTCTCGTCAATTCCAGAAATGGGGCAGGGCAATTCACACAATAAAGGCTTGTCTTGAAAACAACAAGAAAACAGGCTTTCTTTTTTTAATTTGACTTGGATTTGTACACAACCATGTTTGATTGCAATAAGTTGCTAAGTGTTTTGGAACAGACAAAAAAAAAAAAAGAACAGAAGTGCAGCTATTTTGTTGTTGTTTCCCATATGATAATTATTGTAACTGTATCCACAGGTGCTTCGTTGCCAAAATTGCATAGTAAATAACTTTATACTTTCACACTTTGCTTCCCCATTCTTTCTTCAGTATTTGTGGTGCACTTCCCATTTGTCCTTTCATCTCTGCCTGTTTAGCCTCATTCTTTCATCTTCTTAGCTCTGATCTGTAACAGTGCCATCGGGTGACTGCCTTTCAACTTGACCAGGGTGGCTTGGGTTCCTACCACCAAACTAACATTCTGGGTTTGTCAGGACAGGCAGGTTTGGCTAGTTATATTGCCTGGCAGGTGCAAATTTACCTTTTTAACAGAACAATTGTGCCTATCACTGTTAAAACTTTGACATTATTGTTTTTCCAGCCTCGTTATATCACCATGAATGTTATTTAATGTTAAACTTTGGACTGTGAAAACTCTTCCGGATACAGTATGGCAGGTTAAATGTACATTAGGAAAACAGGTTTATTAGTCTATTGCACAATTAAAATAAGAAGACAAAGAAATGAAGCTTTGTCCTGAAACACTGAAAGCAAAGAAGTGGCAGTGTGGGTTCACCACATTCCATGCTTGTTGTTTCCTGCTTTTAATAAACCCAGTGACTTTTCTCTTGCAGATTTAAACATGTGGAATTTTTAAGAAACTATCAATGTGTATATTCATTGATTATGCACCATCAAGTCAGTGCTAGCTTTTAGCAACTACATAGATAGACTCTGTCCAGGATGATCTGTCCACAACCTAATCCTTCAGGTCTTCCAACAGTGAATTCATAGCCACTGCCATGCTGTTGGCTGTCTTCTTCTTATTATTTTTCTTTCCATCTTTCCCAGCCTTATGGGCTTCACAAAGGTGCTGGGCCTTCACCTAATGGTCATTTGTATCTTGGATTGATTTTTTTCTATGATCCTTTTTTTGCCTTGGGCTATCCATAATATTCTCAGGAGTCTCCAACGCCAAAATTCAAAGCTACCAACATTCTTTCTATCCTGTTTCTTCAAAGTCCAATTTGGACATGGAGTATCTCAGGGGAAAACATTGTCTGCATGATTATGA